AGAGCAGGCATGGGCAAACTTAGGCCCTCCAGGTGTTTTGGACTTCAACTCCCACAATTCCTAACAGCCTACCGGCTGTTAGGAATTGTGGGAGTTGAAGTCCAAAACACCTGGAGGGCCCAAGTTTGCCCATGCCTGCATTAGAGGCTTCCTGTCGAATTAACCTTGTCATGGCAATGATCACTTTCATTTCTCCCCTTGTGCTTCATAACAAACCATTTTCGATTTCCCAGTGAAAGAAAATAAATAAGTAATTAACAACCCCTTCTCAAAACAGAAGCGGACTAATGCAGGGGCTATAAATCACTAATCCTTCAGCAACACTAAATGGGAAGCACTCAAGAAGCTAAACCTGCAAGGAGGAAACCTTTAATTAAAGGTACACTAGTTGCTAAAAGCCTCAAAAGCACTTGGACAGACTAGGAAAACTAAGCCACAAATCAGATCAGGAAGAAACACAGGAGACAGTTTGGTAATAACATAATCTGGTCTTCCATAAATTGGGAGTGAATAAAGGATGGCAATTTTCAAGAGAAGACTAGTGGAGTTCAGTCCTTGCGCTGGAAGAAAATGGTAAAGTTCTACCCAAGAGATTCTGCCTCTCCACCTGCAGTAATTCATACAAACCATCCCTTCCACAGCCCTTTTAGTGGCCAATGTGAGGTGCAGAATAATACCTGTATTTGGTTTTCTCTCTTTGGTGACCTTCCCTTTTGGATTCTGTAGGGGTCATGGTGCCGCAGCAGGTTAAACTATTAAGCTGCAAAATTTGCTGATGGGAAGATCAGTGGTTCGAATCCACGGATGGGGTGAGCTCCTGCTGTTAGCCACAGCTTCTGCCAACCTCGCAGTTCAAAACATGCACATGTAGAATCATAGAATCATAGAGTTGGAAGAGACCTCATGGGCCTTCCAGTCCAACCCCTTGTCAAGAAGCAGGAAAATTTGCATTCAAAGCACCCCTGACAGATGACCATCTAGCCTCTATTTAAAAGCCTCCAAAGAAGGAGCCTCCACCACACTCCGGGGCAGAGAATGCCACTGCTGAACAGCTCTCGCAGTCAGGAAGTTCTTCCTAATGTTCAGATGGAATCTCCTTTCTTATAGTTTGAAGCCATTATTCCGCGTCCTAGTCTCCAGGGCAGCAAAAAAGTTTGCTCCCTCCTCCCACATACTTCCTCTCACATACTTATACATGGCCATCATGTCTCCTCTCAGCCTTCTCTTCTGAAGGCTAAACATGCCCAGCTCCTTAAGCCGCTCCTCATAGGGCTTGTTCTCCAGACCCTTGATCATTTGAGTCGCCATCCTCTGGACACATTCCAGATTGTCAATATCTCTCTTCAATTGTGGTGCCCAGAATTGGACACAATATTCCAGATGTGGTCAAACCAAGGCACAATAGAGGAGGAGCATGACTTCCCTGGATCTAGACACTATACTCCTATTGGTGCAGGCCAAAATCCCATTGGCTTTTTTTGCCACCGCATGACATTGTTGGCTCATGTTTAACTTGTTGTCCATGAGGACGCCAAGATCTTTTTCACACATACTGCTCTCAAGCCAGGTATCGTCCCCCTTCCTGTATCTTTGCATTTCATTTTTTCTGTCTAAGTGGAGTAGTTTGCATTTTTCGCTGTTGAACTTCATTTTGTTAGTTTTGGCCCATCTCTCTAATCTGTCAAGATCATTTTGAGTTGATCAATAGGTACTGCTTCGTTGGGAAGGTAATGGCGCTCCATGCAATCATGCCAGCCACGTGAACTTGGAGGTGTCTATAGACAACACCAAATCTTCGGCTTAGAAATGGAGATGAGCACCACTGCTAGAGTTGGACATGACTAGACTCAATATCAAGGGGAAAACTTTACCTTTAAAGCAGTTCATATAGTTGGACCTCATGAGTGCCTGCCAAGATGGGGACAAAAAACACTATTATGTTAAACTATCCTGCTGTTGAATTCCTTGGTTTTATTTATTTTTATTTTTTGTTCATCACATAGATCACAATTCTGTTCCAGGAAAACTCCTACCCCAAACCCACTTTTAAGGATTGGATCCTCTGCCCAAAATGATCATTTCCATGTTGTCAGAGAGTGAGGGAATCAATAGGGATGTAGCCAGCTATTTTTCTGTTACAAGAATGGTCATTTGTGATGACCTCCAAAGGACCCCCAAAAGTCTCTTTGGCTGCCTATCACAGCACAAGTCTTTAGAAAGACTTATAAAGGATTCTTCTCTCTCCACACCTGAAACATCTGCACATCATTGTTATGTCAGTTTTATACCACCTTAATTAGTGTGGGCTCTTCTGTTAGGAATTCCGAGATTAGTAACTTGTCATATACCACAAAGGTCCTGAGATATCTTGTGAAGAGCACGACTGAAGATGAAACCAGTTTATTTTTTGCAGTTTAGACACTAAATCACTAATCAACCATGAAGCTTGTGGACAAGTGTCACACTCTCAGCTTCAGAGGAAGGCAGTGGTCCAACCTCCAAAGAAATCTATCCAAAGAACCCTTTTAATCACTTTAAGTTGGAGCTAACATGAAGGTAAATAATAATAAAAAATAGTGAAGTGGTATCATTTTCCTAGAGATGTTTCCATTTCAGACTTCAAACAGAAAGCTGCCTACCTAGAAGGACGAAAACAAGATCCTCTATAGTTATAAAGCTTATTTATCATGAAGCTTAGCCTTTCTTCCTGTTATGCTGATTTTCTGTAAGCAAGATTTTCTCTGCTCTGCCATGGAATAACATTCGACATGCAAATCTCCTAAAGTGGGACAACAGTGCCACTTGACTCAGAGAGAATCCCAACCTATGTGTGTGTGCGCGCGTGTACAGACTGTATACATATACATACATATACATATACACACCATTGCAAACTCCAAGCTCATCCTTTGATGGTGGAATTGATCAATTTTTAAGAAAATTACTTTTTCTGGTCTAGGATGTCATATTGTATATACTCATTTATAAGTCAACCTCATAAATAAGTTGAGGGCAGGTTTGGGGGCCAAAATTATGCTTTTTTAAATGACCCATGGATAAGTCAATGGTCATTCTGCAGAGAGAGAAAAGCTCCAATGCTGCCTCAGAAGGCCAGCCATCCCTGGCCAGTGGTGCTATTTCCCGACCGAAGCATGGCAAAAGGCCAGAAGCAGTGACATGTCAAAGAAAGTAGACTTATACACAAGTAACATATTTCACTGCATAATAGTCACACTTTTATCCCTTATTTCTGGCCCAAAAATGGGGGGGTGCAACTATTATAAGGTGGTAACTATTACACAGTGCAGTATGGTATGTATTGGAGGAAGAACAAGTAAATGTACCTCTAATATTATGGGTGATGAGTTGTTGAAGGCTTTCATGGCTGGAATCACTGGGTTGCTGTGAGTTTTCCGGGCTGTATAGCCTTGCTCCAGAAGCATTCTCTCCTGACATTTCACCCACATATATGGTAGACATCCTCAGAGGTTGAGACCTTTCAACCTCTTAGTATGCCAGCCATAGATGGGGTGAAACATCAGGAAAGAATGCTTCTGGAACATGGCCACACAATCTGGAAAATGTATAGCAAACCATTGTGGATGATGTCATTGGTTCCTGTAATATTGCTCAGATGTAGAGACAAAGTTGACATCTAGGCTCTTGTTGCTATATTACCTTCCATATTATATATTTCATTGTGAATATTTATTTAAGATTTGGAGGCTGTCTGTAGGCATAAAGACCCACCAGCCTGAGCTTGTGAGAGGGCTCTTTAATGATGCATTTGAGTAGTCTCTACTGAGGACAGTAGGTGAACATTAGAGATGTTCTGTCATCTTGTGTTTTGATCTGTCTTGTTGTAAATGGTTCTAGTGGTTCAGAGACAGCTATTCCATAACATTTACAGGGATAGAGAAGATGGAAATATAGCAGACATAGTGCAAGTCCTGTAGTATGATTAAGATGGGATAATACACTAGCAGTTCAAAAACATGCAAATGTGAGTAGATTAATATGTATTGCTCTGGCGGAAAGGTAACAGCGCTCCATGCAGTCATGCTGGCCACATGACCTTGGAGGTGTCTACGGACAATGCCAGCTCTTCAGCTTAGAAATGAAGATGAGCACCAACATCCAAACAAAACAGTTGTATTGCATTTTTTAACAAACAAACAGACAAAATACAAAGTTTGCAAGCTTGGTAGTTGATTAAATGTCATTTGACCAGTATCTGGCCACTTGGAGTGCCTCTGGTGTTGCTGCAAGAAGGTCCTCCACTGTGCATGTAGCAGGGCTCAGGTTGCATTGCAGCAAGTGGTCTGTTGTTTGCTCTTCTCCACACTCGTGTGTTGTGGATTCCACTTTGTAGCCCCATTTCTTGAGGCTAGCTCTGCATCTCGTGGTGCCGGAGCGCAGTCTGTTCAGCACTTTCCAAGTCGCCCAGTCTTTTGTGTGCCCAGGGAGAAGTCTCTCATTTGGTATCAGCCATTGATTGAGGTTTTGGGTTTGAGCCTGCCACTTTTGGACTCTTGCTTGCTGAGGTGTTCCAGCGAGTGTCTCTGTAGATCTTAGAAAACTATTTCTTGATTTAAGTCTTTGACGTGCTGGCTGACACTCAAACAGGGGATGAGCTGGAGATTTCACTGCCTTGGTCCTTTCACTATTGGCTGCTACTTCCCGGCGGATGTCAGGTGGTGCAATGCTGGCTAAACAGTGTAATTTCTCCAGTGGTGTAGGGCGCCGACACCCTGTGATAATGCGGCATGTCTCATTAAGAGCCACATCTACTGTTTTGGTGTGGTGAGATGTGTTCCACACATCTGATAATGGATATGTGATAATGGATTGGGAAAGCAATGTATCCTGCCTCTGCAAGTACATGCATGTAGACATGATTAGTCACAATCTGTCTACCAGTGTTGACCCCCCTCACCTTAACATTAGCCTTGGATCCCTGTACTCCAGCCCCTCTAACTCACCATTTTCTTCATACACAGATCCCACAAATCAGCTACGCCTCCACTGCTCCTGAACTCAGCGACAGCAACCGCTACGATTATTTCTCCCGGGTGGTGCCTCCTGACTCCTACCAGGCTCAAGCAATGGTGGACATTGTCAAAGCACTGGGCTGGAATTATGTCTCCACACTGGCTTCTGAGGGGAATTATGGTGAAAGTGGTGTTGATGCCTTTGTGCAGATCTCCCGAGAGGCTGGTGAGAACAATAGGGTTGATGATTGTGGGTGGATTTGTTTGACAATGTGGTCAGTGAGAGAACTCTCTGTGTGACCACTAGCAACTCACTAGCAACTTGTGAGTGCAGAAAAGAGGTCAGTTAGGGGGCATCAATTGAAACCGTATTTCAAGTTCTCCAGCATCCTGTGTGCCAATGATATTTGGGAACACATGTCTTGAATTATTGCTATATTTGATGGAAAACCATGGAGCCTGGAGATTAGGACAGAAAGAGATTGGTTCCCCACACAGGCAGTTGAGATGTAAGTCCCATATCTGTTTTTGGTCAGGAGGAGCTCCAGTTAGCCAAGAAACTGATCTTGCCTAAATAAATTAGGAGAGGAAGTCGTGAGAATGTAATATTCTCATGACCACAACCTGCTTGAACAGTAGCTAGGACTCAAAAAGGTGAGCTGAGCGATGAGGCATAGAGCTGGTCAGATTCAGACCTTCAACATTGCCAACAAAATTTCAGGATCCAATACCAAGTCCAAACCTGGGATCCATAAGTTTTTCTACTTGGAGACTTGTGAAGAACCACCTGAGACACCACCTCCCTTTTCCTGATCCCTCTGAAGAACTGACCCTCAGCCATCTTGGGTACCTCCTAATATCTCAATGCCAACATGAGATATTAGGAGCACACCAAGCAAAAAAATTGTGAGACAGTGGTGCTTGGCTCCAGGCCAATTGATTGTCTCATCTAGGTAAACCTTCACTTTTGGAAAGGAGATAGAAACCGATAAGCACTTAATCAGAGCTTGAGCAACTTGTGGACAAAGATCTTGACAACTTAATATTAGATCTCTGATTGCATCTATTGCTAATATGCATCCATGGAGAAAACCTGAGCTGCATGATAGTTTTTGAGGTTCTGTTCTTCCTTCCTCCATTTTCATCTCCAGTCAGACCTCCATATTAGCTGGAGTTAAGGATACAGAGTAAAATACAAAACTGAACCTAAGAGAACATGTCTCTATGTCCTGCAGTGTGGCGCAATGGCCATATCTGCCAGACGTTGACCATAGAGATATCTATCAAACATTTACTTTAGAGGAATAATCAGATCTGGAAGTGTTAAACTTGAGAATGTGCAAAGCCAACTGCATTTCCAAAAACAAGCTGTAGTTTCAAAGTTTCAGACTTCCTACCTTTGCACTTTACTGGATTGCAACCAGAGTTCACTGCCATGTGTAAACTTCAGGGTGCAAACCAGAGATCACTTCCAACAGCTTTCTGGCCTTTAAACAGCTTCTTATTTCTGATCAATGAATATTGGTAACAGTAGCTGACAGTGTCTCCCATGTGTGGAGTTTAAGCACAACTTTTAAGATGTCAAGTGAAGTCAAAAGTTATTTGCCTCAAGGCAATGGCCATGTCAGTTATAACAAGTATTTGACATACCTTGAAACATAACTGGCATAAAGCCACAGTAATGCTGATAGTCTATTATATCGTAAAATTGCCCTGAGTCCCCTTGGGGAGATAGGGCAAGTTATAAATAAAGTTGTTATTGATTATTATTATTTCTGGTACTGAAACCAAAGGGTATTAGAATACATTTTAAAATTACTGTGTTGCTTAAAAATAAAACGGTATACCGTATATTCCGGCATATAAGACGACTGGGCGTATAAGACGACCCCCAACTTTTCCAGTTAAAATATAGAGTTAAGACGACTCCCATGCATAAGACTACACCCGCGTATAAGACGACCCCTGACTTTTGAGAAGATTTTCTTGGGTTAAAATGTAGTCTTATACGCCAGAATATACTGTAGTTCTAAGCTCAAGATTTGATTGTAGCCCTGTTTTATTTTAAGGTATAGGTTTGAGTGAGCTATCCATGGTGCTGAAACTAAAAATCTGTCTATCAGCCTCCATGTAGTACTAGTTTGAGTGCTGGACTTTTAACTTTAGAGAGCAGGGGCTGACTCTCTGATTGGCCATGGAAATTCATTTACTTTGAGCTAGTCATAATCTCTCAGCCCCAGAGGAAAGCAAAAGTAAACTTCCTCTGAACAAATCTTGCCAGGAGATCATGTGATACATCTTAGAGTTGCTATGAGTTGGAAATGACATGAAGGCACACAGCAAAAATCCTGTATACCTAAAACCCAGAATGGATTCCCCACCTTCCTGACATGGAAGCCACCAGCCATATATATTTATTTATTTTATTTATTCATTTATTTGACTTGTATACCGCTACTCCCAATTTGGCTCGGAGCAGTTTACAGCAGTAGATTAAAACAATACAATTCACTTTAAAATACAATAAAAACAAGAACAGACATAGTCCCGAGTTATTCACAGAAAAGCATTCTGACTTAAGTTGAATGCAGCACTCCAGCATCTCAGGAAACAAGTGTATTTTTGTGTTGCCGAATAAGGATTGGGAATCATGGAAACCCCTAATATAGTTAGCTGTCATCAGCATCACTAATGCTTATGGCTGTTGTTGCAGTCCAACAACATCTGGAGGGCTGCAGAGTTCACCCATGCGCTCAATCTAAAACAAACAAACAAAGGTGTCAAAGACTGATATTTTTCTGTATGCAAAACAGGAACTTAATATGCTAAGATTTTGATTGGAAAAGGATTCTAAAGTGGAGAGTGGTTAAGAATCTATCAATAAGATTAAACAAAAATGTGTATAAAGTTATATAGAGATGGTATACAACTCCGGTTAAACAACATCAGATGGATAGCAAGCAAAGCAACCTCTGCTGGAGATGTGGCATGCACAAGGGGACATATTTTCATTTATGGTGGGAATGCCCCCAATTGAAGAGTTTTTGGAATGACATGTTTATCAAAATAAGCAATATTATAGGACTAAATATTACTCCGGATGATAGGTTAGCATTACTAATGGATGCCACAAAATTGAATTTAGAAATGGAAAAGAAAGAATTGGTGATTATTTTACTCACAGTGGCAAGAATTATAATTGCAAGGAATTGGAAAATAGTAACTAATCTTACACAGGAAGCATGGTATAGGGAGGTATGGAACGTAGCCTTAAGTGATAAACTATCAGTGGAAATGAAGCTATTCAGGGGGAAAACCATGAGAACAGATTTTGGTGCATACTGTGCAGTCTTTATTAAATATGCTCTAGAGAGTGAAAATGGAAAACAATATAACCCTGTTGGTCAGAATTTTGGATATGACATTTGATTAATGGTTGACTTATAAATATATGCCGAAGGAAAGGATACTTGTTCAGACCTTGGTGGTGGGGCTATGTGTTTGTAAAATGTTCACTGTTTTGTTTTTGTTTTTGTTTTGTTTACAATGTAAGTTGTTAATGTATGTAAATTAAAAAGTAGTTTTAAAAGATGCTAAGATGCCTTTTCTCCCTTTCCACCATGTTTTAAAGCTCTGTTGCATCTCTCTCAGGTGGCGTCTGCATAGCGCAGTCTATCAAGATCCCACGGGAACCTAAACCTGGGGAGTTTGACAAGCTGATCAAGAGGTTGATGGAGACCCCCAATGCCCGTGGCATCATCATCTTTGCCAATGAGGATGACATCAGGTGAGTGCACCATCATCTGCAGCCGCAGCAAGATTCCCTATGGGGCAGGGCTGAGCAAGTGAGAGAAGGATGCTAACTCTCGTTTCTCCCTTTGCACCTTTCCATAGACGGGTCCTGGAGGCAGCCCGCTTTGCCAACCTGACTGGGCAGTTCTTGTGGGTGGGCTCCGACAGTTGGGGGGCCAAGATCTCCCCTATTCTGAAGCAAGAGGAGGTGGCTGAAGGAGCTGTTACTATCTTACCCAAGCGAGCTTCCATTGACGGTAACAAGGGGGAGAAAATCCTCAGTGCTGTGGAAGGGAAGAAAGCGAGTGTGTGTGTGTGTGTGTATGTTCACGTGTTCATGTGTGTATACAGAATAACATGAAAAAATTACTTTTTAGTTTACAAACTCCCAGGCTTCTCCTACCATCATGGCTATTAGCTGGAGGATTCTGGGATCTATAGTCCAAAAAAGAGAACTTCCCAACATGCTGGTATGCACTTTGCTGGATAGTAAGTTTCAGGGGGAAAAGGAAGGGTCTTACCCGCTTGTTTATTTCTCCCTCAAGCTCACTTACCGAGAAGCTTAATTTATGAAGAGACAATCCACTCTTAAACACTGCTCCGTAATTGCCCTGGTTGTACACATGAAAGGGTGTTAAAAGGGTATTAAGTGGGAGCTAATCCATTTTAAGGGGATCCTGAGTCCATGAGTTAAATACTCTTAAACTGACATTTCACAGCTATGGCTAAAGCAAGGTAGAAGGGAAGACCCTCAAAGCAGTTTCCCTTACGTGGAGGGAATCTTTTCAGCTTGTGGAACTTAATGGATTGCCAAAAGGCACAGCTAAATGAAGGTTAGTGAAAAAGTCAGCAACACCACAGAAAACATGGGGAAGCTATTGATTCATTTCCTTCCACTGCAAAAGATTTTGAATATCAAATTCTATACTTGATTTTCTCATTCTGTTAAATTCTTCTAAAAGAAATGGAAACAAAACTTTCGGGTTGCTGTGAGTATTCCAGGCTGTGTGGCCATGTTCCAGAAGCATTCTCTCCTGACGTTTCACCCACATCTAAATCAGGCATCCTCAAAAGTTCTTTCTCCCACCCTGGACATTATTCCACAGATATATAAACCTCATTTGCCTAGTTTCCAACAGACCTCACAACCTCTGAGGATGCTTGCCATAGATGTGGGTGAAACGTCAGGAGAAAATGCTGCTGGAACATGGCTACATAGCCCAGAATACTCACAGCAACCCAGTGATTCTGGCCATGAAAGCCTTCGACAGCACATTGAACAAAACTTTTACTCAGCCATACGGACCAAATACAAAAAGCAGACCTATTCCGAGCAAGGAGATGGCCATGTTTTACCTGCCAGCCACATATGTGTTAAAAATAGGCATTTCTGAGAATAAAAAAGGTGGCAAAACTGATTCAGCATTCACATCACAGAAATTCAAAGCCTGATTTTTCAGAAATTCAGCACTTCAAAAGCAAAAGACTGGGATAGACTAATCCAGATGTTTTGATTTCTCGCATGTTAGATTTTCTTTCTTTTCCCCCTCAATATCCTTCAGTTCTGTGAATTTTGGGAAATTCTGATCTTAAAAACCTCTGTCTCAGCTCTGTGTTCTAATAGCTCACATTCACTCATTTGATCTTCTCTCTTTTCTCTCCCTGAGGCTTTGACCAATATTTCACCACACGCTCCTTAGAGAACAATCGGCGCAACCTCTGGTTTGCCGAATACTGGGAGGAAGACTTCAAATGTAAACTGACTCGTCCAGGGATGCAGCCGGAGGAGGGAGCGCGGAAATGCACCGGTATGGATGTGCTGGAGTGGATGGTACACCTGGGAGGGAAAGGGAGGAAAATGGAAGCTCACAACAAGGAAGGATGAACACGGAGAACAGCTGTAGCCGGCTATTCATTCCAACCAGGTTCATTGTAACCACTTCCTCCCAAGCTGTGAAGGGTGAGGGTTGTCCCTAGGCTAAGGGTGGGCATTTGTGGGGATTCAGAGGAGCCTTTTCTGCATCTCCAGTGTCTTTAGTGGTGACCCAGAATGTAAAATATACACCATACCCTCCCATGAATCAAGAACAAGAGTGGCCAAGCCATACCAGAATGCAGTCAAGACAGCAAAACCCATTAGTAAGGCAGAACAGATAAGCTAGGAGATATTGCAACAGTTTGCTTTTTCTGAGACACCTTGAAAGGGCAATATTCTATCCTCTCTTTTCACCCCCCACTGAATTCATTGAGTGCAGTCTGCTTTGGCGTATTGAACTCAGTTTGCAGCATTGGAAATAAGCTGAAGGTAAAATGGGAGAGGGAGAAGAATAGGGACATTTAAAAGTAGCTAGAAGAATACAAGGGTTGAATGAAAAGTAATGCCACCACCTTCGTAACTCCTCAACAGATGGCAGTACTGGTATGCGGCAGGTACTGGCTTGTTCAGTAGACTCTCCTTTACAGTTCCATTTTGGTGGGAAGCCTTAGCATTGAACAGATGTGTTGTTAAAGTGCGAAGTATGGAACCTTGTGCAGACGGTCGGTCAGTGCGACTTAAGCAATGTGCAGTCATTGAATCCTCCACAGCAGAAGGCATGGAGATTCATCAGAGAACGGTGATTGTGTTGATGTGAGTACTGTGCGTTGTTGGGCAACTAAGTTTAAAGATGATGAGGTGACACCTTCTGCTGTCAAGAATTCAATGGCTGCACATTGCTTAAGTTGCATCGACTGACCGTCTGTGCAGGATTCCATACTTCGCACTTTAACAACACAACTGTTCAATGCTAAGTCTTCCCATTAAAATGGAACTGTAGAGGAGAGTCTACTGAACAAGCCAGTACCTGCTGCATAAATCTTTTGAGGAATTTCGAAGGTGGAGGCATTACTTTTTATTCAACCCTCATAGGATGAAAGGGGATTGATTGGCAGAAATCAGTCCCTGCTAAATTGGGGGAGTCTGAAATGAAAATGGATGGTTTTGAAAAATTGGTAGCATCAGCCCCCTCCCCACCAACCTATTTAAAAGAGGACCTGCCATTCATGGAAGTTTCCAAGATGAAGGAAATAAAAGGACAATTTGGGGAACCTTGGAGGACTGAGCTTAAAAACAGCCTTGGGAGTGCCCCAACTTTGTCCACCCCTGCATTAGGCAGTAGATGGCAGGGGATATATATACAGGCAGTCCCCAAGTTACAAGCAAGATAGGTTCTGTAGGTTTGTTCTTAAGTTGAATTTGTGTGTAAGTCAGAATGAGTTTTTTAAAGTGCTTTGGACTGCATAGGGAAGGGTTACGCCCAGGTGGTGTTTGTTTTGCTCTCTGTGCCCCTGCTCAGAAGGTTTCGCCTCACTTTCTGTCCCTTTGAGAATTGGATCTTGAAAAATTGGCTTGTTATGGAAGCAAGGATTGGTGATAAAGCTTCAGCAAAGACAACTTTCCCCCATGATAACTATTTCAGGAGTGAATTTTCCTTCCTAGGGATAGATTTCTCTCATTTCCTGTTGTTTCACAACAATTCTTAACTATGAGTCATTTTATGTTGGATGTTTGTAACTCCGGGATTATCTGTAACCAGTCAGTATATATTCACTTACTTTTTCATTCATAAGTCAGATATTTGCCACCTAGGGACTGCCTAAAGTTGATGTAAAGGCACATAACAAGAAATAAAACAAAATACCATAAAAGCAGGATTACCGGAGAGAGCTCTGCAAGTGGAGTACTGTATATTTAAAAATATTATAGGAAGATTTTATTTTCCTATGTAGCCTCGCCTGCAGCAGTTTTGACCCACTCACATATCCATATATGTCTTTCTTTCCTTGCCAACACATAGGGGAAGAGCGGATTGGACGAGATTCTACATATGAACAGGAGGGAAAGGTGCAGTTTGTCATTGATGCCGTCTATGCCATGGCCCATGCTTTGCATAACATGCACCTTGACCTCTGCCCGGGCTACGCTGGGGTGTGTGAGAAGATGGATCCCATTCATGGACGTACCTTACTGAACTACATCCTTGCTGTGAACTTTAATGGTACGTCTGGTAATGTATATGTAATATATGTTTAGTAAGGGTGTTGTGTGTGGGGAGTTCTGTTAGTTGTCGCAGTTTAGTTTTTTATATTAAGAAAAAAATCATTTTAAGTTTGTGTGTGTGTGAAGTATTGCATTTTTGTTTTGTGCAATTAGTTTTTCTGTATATTTTTGTGTTTGTTTGTAGGTTTGTTTTCTTGAACGAAAGTAATGTTAAAAATGGTAAGACTGGCAAAGAGTCCATCTAGCAGTGAAAACATTATGTTGTCGAAGGCTTTCATGGCTGGAATCACTGGCTTGCTGTGAGTTTTCCGGGCTGTATGGCTATGTTCCAGAAGCATTCTCTCCTAATGTTTCATCCACATCTATGGCGGGCATCCTCAGAGATTGTGAGGTCTGTTGGAAACTAGGCAAATGGGGTTTATATATCTGTGGACTGTCCAGGGTGGGAGAAAGAACTCTTGTCTATTTGAGGCAAATGTGAACGTTGTAATTGACCACCTTGATCAGCATTGAATCACCCAGCATTGAAAAACCATTAAATGCTAATCAAGGTGGCCAATTTCAACATTCACACTTGCCTTCAGGAGACAAGAGTTCTTTATCTCAACCCTGGACTTTCCACAGATATATAAACCTCACTTGCCTAGTCTCCAACAGACCTCACAACCTCTGAGGATGCCTGCCATAGATGTGGACAAAACGTCAGGAGAGAATGCTTCTGGAACATGGCCATACAGCAACCCAATGGAAACATTACATTGCTTCATACAGCATGAAACACAAAGTGCAATTTAACCAGTACATACCTTGGAAGTAAACAATAGTACCATCCAAACCTAGAGCTATAGCCACCATAGCTAAACTGGTCAGTGCTGCATATCTTATCCCAAACAACGACCTTTTCAGTTTGTAACAAAAGAAAAGCCTGAATAGACCTGATCAAATACTTGTCTAGTCAAGCACTGTGTTTTCCAACCAGACACTTGTGGAATTTCCCCAAGATGTCATGAGGACAGAAGCCCTTTGCAGCTGGTGTCCCCCCGTAACTGTTGTTCTAGATCCTGGCAGCCTCTGTAACTGGTAGCCAGTGATAGCGTTGTCTTCCATGGTTTCCTTAGTCCAAGCATCCCATCTGTCACTCTCTCCTTCCTGCAGGCAGTGCTGGGACCCCTGTGATGTTCAATGAAAATGGAGATGCACCCGGCCGCTATGACATTTTCCAGTTTCAACTGACAAACACTTCAGCCCCTGGGTACAAAGCCATTGGGCAGTGGACAGAATACCTGCGCCTGAATGTGAGTGGCAAAACACAGGCTTGCTGTAATGATCAAGAATGGAGTGAGAATTTGGCAGGAAGAACCACCCGAGACCTTCTCTCTCATGAACTTCTTTCAGAAAGTCAACTTCCAACCTCCTTGAGTCCTACAACAAAGGTTGTAGTACCCTGGTAAAGAGGAAGTAGCTATAGGGCAGTGTTTCTCAACCTTCCTAATGCTGTGACCCTTTAATACAGTTCCTAATGTTGTGGTGACCCCCAACCATAACATTATTTTCGTTGCTACTTCATAATTGTAATGAATTATAATATAAATATCTGATCTGCAGGATGTATTTTCATTCACCGGACCAAATTTGGCACAAATACACGATACACCCAAATTTGAATACTGGTGAGGTTTGGAGGGGGGGGGATTAATTTTGTCATTTTGGAGTTGTAGTTGTTGGGATTTATAGTTCACCTACAATTAAAGAGAATTCTGAACTCCACCAATGATAGAATTGGGCCAAACTTGGCACACAAAACTCCCATGACCAACAGAAAATACTGGAAAGGTTTGGTGAGCACGGACCTTGACTTTTGGAGTTGTAGTTCACCTACATCCAGAAAGCACTGTGGACTCAAACAATGATGGATCTGGACCAAACTTGGCACAAATACTCAATATGCCCAAATGTGAACACTGGTGGAGTTTAAGGAAAATAGACCTTATTTGAGAGTTGTAGTTGCTGAGATTTATAGTTCACCTACAATCAAAGAGCATTCTGAACCCCACAATTGATAGAATTGGGCCTAACTTCCTACACAGAACCCCCATGAACAACAGAAAATACTGTGTTTTCTGATGGTCATTGGTGACCCCTTTGACACCCTCTCATGACCCCACAGGGGTCCCGGCCCCCAGGTTGAGAAATGCTGCTATAGGGCATGGAAAGGTACTTTGTTGGCCTACACAAAAACTAATCTCCCAGTGGTCATGATTTGGGAGGGGGGATTATGCAACCTGTTGTCCGTAAAAACAACTTCCCCAAGAACTGATACCCCCCCCCCCCCACATACATGATGCCCAAAAGAGCAAAGTACTAGCGGGTGACAAGTGTACTTATTGTCCTTATGCGTTTCCACAGTGGATCTCCAAACGCAATTTCTTGATTACCATCAAAAGGGATTACAACCCCAAAGTATTTTGACCTCACGGTCACACTGCAACTGTGCTTTACAACAAAGCTCCCAGATTTTGTTTTCTGTATTAAATCATTAAAATGGGGCTTCATATTCAACTGTAAGAAAAGAGGAGAGTAGGTCAAAACAGCAGCACAGATAAATAGTATTTAACACATTAAAAAAATGTTTTGTCAAGGGAAGCTTTGTCTATCAAAATAAATAAAATGCCATCCAAAGAGAAGCCCCCTTTCTCTCTGCCCTCCGCAATTGTTGGACTATGCAGGGACATTTTTACTGGGCAAACCCAGATAGATAGAGGTCAGCGTGGGCAAAGGTTATATAACCTATTGATGGTTATTAACATTAATTATGTAAGCTCTTTTTATGAGAGGCTTAAAGTGAAGGCAGCCAGCTAGGCGGGGCCGAACCATGGCACATTCTGTTTCATCTTGGAATGGAATGAAATGCAATAAAAAGCACATATTTAAATAACTATGGTTATTAAATTGGCTGGTTGGAAGATTCTGGGTGTTGTAGTCCAACAACTGTGATTGAATCATATGAGGAAAGTAGAGGTGGCTGGTAGATCCCAGTGGGACAGGAGAGCAGCTTCAGGTGTCTTTAAAGTGGGCGCAGGTAAAGTACAACTCAAAAAGCACAGAGCTGTTTTGTATTACCCAGAGCCCCCAAAATGCTCTTTACAGGGCATGAGAGTCATTTTGCCACATTTCCCACCTGACTCCAATTTAGGTCCAGGTGATGCACTTTTTGAAAACACATTTTCCTGCTCTACTAAGCCCAAAATAGACTGACAGAGGGAAAAATCATATTGAAAATCCCTTTATACTCCCTAAAGCAGTGGTTCCCAACCTTTTTTTGACTAGGGACCACTTGACCAGGGACCAGTCTCCAACATTAGAACCAAAAGGGTTACGAATCGTTTTTTGGTAAACTTTAGATTCAGTTTGGGGTGCTGATTCAGAAAACTGCATTGAATAGACCATATCAGCTCTAGTTTCTGATACAGAACATATGCCGTCCAGTAGTCACCATCTGCTCGGCCACAGAAAACCAAATTTAATAATCTAGATCCACCGACCTTATTTTAGGACTCATGGTCCACCGGTGGGCCATGGCCCACAGATTGGGAACCATTGCCCTAAAAGGAATTTAGGGGGCAAATAAAAATTGTGGCATTTGAGGTCCGCCAAGTTTTCCATAGGGATTATTTTGGTTTACTAGCCTTCCAGTGTTTCCTACTCAGGACCTCTCCACACATTAGATTCAGGACCTTGGGCAGCTCCTTTAAAATTCAGACCAAAATCCACAATCTTTTCCCTGACCTACTAGCATGGAAGCCACTCGCCACTGTGAAAGACAGGTGACTGTGTTTGACACAGGCAACAGTAGGACTGAGTCTACAACAGTCATTCCCAAACTCTGGTCCTCCTGGCATGTTGGACTTCTACTCCCAGAAGCCTCAGCTGCCTTGGTATATGATCAGGAATTCTAGGAGCTGAAGTCATCTGAAAGACCATAGTTTGGGAAACACTGGCCTACAATATCACTCATGTTAAAAAAAATGACTTGTGTAGTGCTGTGGTCAGTCACAAAGGTGTACAGGAAAGGATCTCTAAGTGAGGTCTCAGAGCTGGTTCAAAAGGTTAGTTCCATGAAAGTAAAGAATCCAAAAACACATTTCAAGAAAGTTCCCAAAAGCAATCCACAAAGAGTTTCAAAGAAAAGACAACATGAATCCAAGGCTGGTCAGCTAGGCCACACAGGAACAAGAAGCAAGAACAACTTAGAAACTTGAATACATGAATTCCAGGACACAGGCCCCAAACCGAGAGCTCTTCACCTGAATGCAGCATTGCTCTCACAAGGATTATACCAGCTCCAAATCCTCACATGACATCATTTCTTCAGCACCTGCTTCTCTGCTCCTTATTCTAAGTCTCTGAGAAAAGCGACTCTTTCATAATTGCATGCCTTCTGTCCACAATTCTAATCATCTTGACCTGGACATGGGAATGGATATCACCTTCTCCCTTCTCCTGGGAACTGCTGCCTGGGGGAGATTCCAAGACACCTCTTTTTGAGATCTCTGAATCTCTCCCATCACCCCCTGAAACTCTCCCAACATCCCCTCATATGTCCGCTCACATCTCAGCATGTGGCAAGAAGCACATTCCTTTCTTATCAGTATTTCTTTTCTGTCCTACAGAGGAAGCTCCAAAAGTGTCACTCTATCAATACTTCATATCTCTATGTTTTAACTCATGCATTGCTGAAACCACACAGTTTATACTAACAATATATACTAACAATAACTGGAGTTATTTTTCCTTTAGATTGAGGATATGCAATGGTCAGGGGGTCAGAAGGACATCCCCTCTTCAGTGTGCAGCCTTCCTTGCAATCCAGGTGAGAGGAAGAAGATGGTGAAGGGAGTGCCCTGCTGCTGGCACTGCGAGCTTTGTGACGGCTACCAGTATCAACTGGACGAGTTCACCTGCGAGATGTGCCCCTTCGACATGCGGCCCAACCAAAACCGCACAGCCTGCCGCCCAACACCCATTGTCAAACTGGAGTGGAGTTCTCCTTGGGCCGTATTGCCCATCTTTTTGGCCATTCTGGGCATCCTTGGCACCACTTTCATTGTCATCACCTTCATCCGGTTCAATGACACACCCATCGTTCGCGCCTCAGGTCGTGAGCTGAGCTATGTCCTGCTCACAGGGATTTTCCTCATCTACTCCATCACGTTTCTGATGATCGCTGAGCCTGGGGTTGCTGTCTGCGCTTTGCGCCGTCTCTTCTTGGGCTTGGGAATGGCCATTAGCTACTCAGCTTTGCTAACCAAAACCAACCGCATCTACCGTATCTTCGAGCAAGGCAAGAAGTCTGTGACGCCACCCAAGTTCATCAGCCCCACCTCGCAGCTAGTCATCACATTCAGCCTCATCTCTGTACAACTTGTAGCTGTGATCATATGGCTGGGGGTCGCCCCTCCACACAGCATCATTGACTTTGAAGAGCAGCGTACACCCAACCCTGAGTTCGCCCAAGGGGTGCTGAAGTGTGACATGTCCGACCTCTCCATCATCTCTTGCCTCAGCTACAGTATCATTTTGATGGTCACCTGCACTGTCTATGCTATCAAGGCCCGCGGTGTGCCCGAGAACTTCAATGAGGCCAAGCCCATTGGCTTCACCATGTACACAACTTGCATCGTTTGGCTGGCCTTTGTGCCCATCTTCTTTGGCACAGCACAATCAGCAGAGAAGGTGGGAATGGCTGGGTCAAGAAACAGGTTGTAAAGGGAAGAGACAAGGGTAGGGGGAGTGGAGGGGGAGCAGGCCAAAGCTGGACTAAATCAGGTGATACATAACAGTAAGTGCTTTTGAAGTGCCTTGACTTTTTAACAACTGAAAAACAGCTATGGAAGGCTGCCTATTTTTAAAGGGGAAGGAGAGAGTACCATATATTTTTCCACTTCTGCTGTTTTTCCAGTAAGGATTACTATCCCCAAACAATTTATCTTTCCTCAAGGAAAAAGATGCAGGAAAAAAGGTTACAGGAATATATCTCTGCGCCATAACATGGGATAGCATTTTGGTGGGAACATATGAGGTTTCTGGCTATAATGTGATTTAAATAGAGAATGGCTGCAACTGAACATCCCCACAATGTAGCATAGATATCTTGCATGTAGAGATGATGCACCGGTGGTGCAGTGGGTTAAATCCTTGTGCGGCAGGATTGAAGACCAACAGGTTGCAGGTTCAAATCCAGGGAGAGTGCAGATGAGCTCCCTCTATCAGCTCCAGCTCCTCATGCGGGGACATGAGAGAAGCCTCCCACAAGGGTAGTAAAACATCAAAACATCTGGACGTCCTCTGGGCAATGTCCTTGCAGATGGCCAATTCTCTCATACCAGAAGCGCTTTGCAGTTTCTCAAGCCGCTCCTGACACGACAAAAAAAAAAAAAGTAGAGATAAGCTACCACAGCAGTATGCAACTCTGATGTAGAATAACAAAATTGGGCAAGGCTCATCAATGACTAGGGGACCATCTATATGAGTCAATGAGTTAGTTCATGGGTGAATGGATCTTATACATCACATGATGTATAAGATCCATTTGCTTTATTGTGGCCTTATTCCATGTTAAAAACAAGTTGTGGGATACTCTGGAGCTTCCTATTCAACTGTGGTTGTTTACATTACCATCCCACTGAGCTGGGGCAACCTAAGGACAGGAGGTGGCACTTACTTGTTCCAGTTGTTTTGGGCTTTGCAGTGCCCACTGGGCATGAACTTAACAGAGTTCATCACTCAGTGCCTGGAGTTACATTAGTTGGAGCAATAAGACGATTGGAGAAGTGAAGAGCAAAAGGAAAAAAGATTCCTTCTTTCCACCTTCCCCTTTCTCAAATCTCTCTATTGTTCTGGCTATAGTTTTTACAGGAGCCAATGATTGAACACCGCAGTTTTGTGCCGAGTGTCCACCACAAAACCCAGAACAACAAGGCGAGGTATGGCTCTGTAGTATTGAGCTGTGCAGACTCCATCCAGCTGCTGTACCATCTCAGGGGCATGCAATGTGGACACCCGCCAGCCCGGATCTGAATTCAATGGTTAACCATGCAGACCATGGTGATGCTAATTTGGATACCCTACTCCAGATCAGCACCACTGTTTCAGGCATATCTAGATGTCCCCCAGGTCCTGTTACATAGTATGCAATCATAAAGTGCAAGACGTTAACTCTTACATGCACAATTGTGGTGCACAGTATTACTGTATGCACAGCTCCCCTGGGTTGTGGTAGGTTTTTTCGGGCTATATGGCCATGTTCTAGAGGCATTCTGTCCTGACATTTCGCCTGCATCTATGGCAGCATCCTCAGAGGTTGTGAGGTCAGGAGAGAATGCCTCTAGAACATGGCCATATAGCCCGAAAAAACCTACAACAACCCAGTGATTCCGGCCATGAAAGTCTTCGACAATACACAGCTCCACTTCTGTCAGGTCAGCACAATACTTTTGTTGCACTGTAACAAATAATTTGCCCCATGTGTGTAGCAGAACACATGAATTCATATAAACTTTTAAGCAGAGGCTGGTTGGCCTTCTGTCAGGGGTGCTTTGAATGCAATTTTCCTGCTTCTTGGCAGGGGGTTGGACCAGATGGCCCTTGACGTCTCTTCCAACTCTATGATTCTATTATTCTATATGTTTCTAATAGAATGGCAGGTAATATATTTACCACATTTGTTTCAGAACTGCTATCCCAAAGAGTATAAAACATCTTTTTGTCACAGCACCTGATTTTGTGCTTACATTTAGTATGCTTGGTCTTATCATTGGTCTTCGGTAAGTAAACAGAGACTTAATTTGCAAGTTTGATTTCTGCAGCACATCTATCTGAGGAAATCTTGTGCTGAAATGTCAAAATGGGCTAAGTGCTGGAGATACACATTTTCCTTAATATTTAATTTTTCCCGAAGTTTTGTAGCAGTTAGAGTTTTATTTTACATAGGAAAACATCCCAACGTCCCAGCCTTCCCCATTTGTTACAGAAATGGCAGCTTCTCGACTAGCAGTGTCTAGATCAAGACAACTGTTATAGCTCCAAAGAAACGGGAGGTTTCTAATGACCCTTTGAAGAGATGAATGAGATGGCAGCAAAGACCCTTTCAAGCGCATTTGGATGGGTCATCCTAAGAGCACTGCCATGCCACATCACTGCCTGGCAAATAGGGCATAGCCTCACTTTCTCCTGGCGCACTACACATTTCAAAGACATGTTGAAAGAGGTTAAGCTGTCATCTCATCTGGTCCTCTCTGGGACTTATAAGTGGGCATGCACATTATTGCTCATCTCTGGTGAGTATAGCGTGTAACCTTGGGAAATGCTTGTTGCCCAATACAAGCATGCTTTTAAAAAGCACTGAGACGAGAACCAATCTGGTTTCTGATTCTGTGGCAGAACCGCTATCCAGATTGAACCTACAGTTCTAACCCTTTGGCTCCTATCACTCCCCTTGCTCTTTTACCCTCAATGTCCATCTGCCAATATGGGGAAAGTGGCTGTGTTGATCAGTGGGTTCAGTGTGGTAACACATTTATTTATTTATTTATTTATTTACTTACTTATTTAGAGCATTTGTATCCTGTCCGTCTCAACCCCCAAGGGAGGACTCAGGGCAGCTTACAACTGGCAGTCATTAGATGCCAACAAACAAACAGTTGTAATACAAACAATTAACATAAAATAAGCCAAAAAGATTATAAAATACATTAAAATATTGGCCATTAAAATATTAAAATGCAACCAAGCCTAAGTCCGCAAATCCAAATCATAGTTCCAGTCCAAGATCTATTCATTAACAATACTAATGACAAGAGTTATTGCAGTTGACCATTGCGTCATTGCATGACCAATTCTCTTTTCCAACAGCAATACACACTGGTAGAAAATAAAAACAGTAAGGTAAAGGCAAAGGTTTCCCCTTGACATGAAGTCTAGTCATGTCTGACTCTGGGGGTTGGTGCTCATCTCCATATCCAAGCCAAAGAGCCGTATTGTCCGTAAACACCTCCAAGGTCATGTGGTCGGCATGACTGTATGGAGCACTGTTACCTTCCTGCTGAAGCAATACCTATTGTTCTACTCACATTTGCATGTTTTCAAACAGCTAGGTTGAAAGCTGGGACTGACAGCAGGAGCTCACCCCGCCCTGCGGATTCGAACCGCCAACCTTCCAGTCAGGAAGTTCTGCAGCTTAACAGTTTAACCTGCTGTGCCACCATGGCCCCTTATAATAAAAACAGTAACACCTTTTATATAACATCTGTCCTTATACCGATTCCACACACAAGAACACAGTGCACCTTCTTCTGTTTCAACACTTCTCCTGGAAATCTAGACACATTCACAGTTCCCTTAATACCCAGATCTTCTCAATTCCCCTTTTCCTAACTAGCCATCATGCTTTGACTCCCTAGCTTTATCTCATCCTGCCCATATCAAATCATTTAGCAGACAAACCTCTAGGTCTTATCCTTTCCCCTCCCAGCACTGCAAAGGCTGTGACTGACTAATGGTAAGAGCTGTTCGGCAGTGGAATATGATGCTCTGAAGTATGGTGGAATCTCTTTCTCCGGAGGTTTTTAAGCAGAGACTGGATGGCTATCTGTTGGAGGTGCCCCTCCCCCCCCCCCCAGGTGGCAGAAGGGGGTTGGACTGGATCACCCTCATGGTCTCTTCCAATTTTATTATTCTGTGACTAGCTGTGCCTGCCAAGCATTACTGTGGCCAACCTTTTCTCCCTCTTTCTCTCCTCCTTTCTTTCTCCTTCTTTCCTTTCTTTTCTTTCATTTTCTCCTTCCTTCCTTCTCTCTTTCCTTCATTCCTTTCTTTTCTTTTATTCTCTCCTCCTTTCTTTCTCCCCTTCCTTCCCTTTTCTCTTTCGTCTCTCCTTCCTTCTCTTCTTCTTCCCTTCCTTCCCCTCCCTTTTTCTTTCCCTTTTACTTTCTCTCCTTTCTTCCTTCTCTACCTATTCTTGGACTCCCAGCAGTCCTCCTGGTCCATCTATCCACCTACCTACCTATCTCTATCTAATCTGTCTATCTGGAGGGTTGCTGAGAGTTGCAGTCCAGGAATAGGAAATTGGAAATATGTAGAGATTGGGATGCTCTCAAAGAAATCAAAGGAGAAGAAAGCTTGCAGCTTAGAAGCAGTGCATTTGAATCATCCCCCTCTCTTAAAGTGCCTGATCTAGGGGGTGCTGGGAGCTGTAGTCTGGAAGAGAGTGTGGATATGCTATTGTGTCTTTTGTTTGCCAGGGGGAGTTGTTTTTGCGCATGCACTGTAGCAGCTTTTTGCTTTTTGGGCTTTTTAAGTCCCTTCCACTCTGTTTTTCAGTGTTTTTATGAGTGATGGTCACTCATTGGCCTGATAGGTGTATTGTGTCCAAATTTCATGTCAATTTATCCAGTGGTTTTTGAATTGTGTGAATCCCACAAACTTATATTTTTATTTATATAGATTGGCCTTAAACAGGCTTCTCACTTTGTAGTTCCCCATTTTTATTTTGTCTTGAGAGCTATTGCAAGGTTAATAATTTAAATACAAGAGTATTAAGTTATACTGGGTAGCAACATCATCCATTGCCCCATCATAGTCGAGTGAACTAGAAGTTTGCCTGCTCTTGAGCTACAGTCCCTATCAGTCCCTCTGGATACTGGCTATACTGGCTGACTGATGGAAGTTAGAGTTAGAGCATTTGGAGAACCACTCATTGTCCAGTTCTGTTTCCCTGCAACATCTATTTTTATAGTTAATACTTTTTTTAAATGTAAAAGAAACAGAGCAGGCAATGTGTCATCTTCAATTGCTGTTGAACTCCAATTCTCATAAGGAACACTCAGTTTTACCGGGGTGTCCCACTAGACCAGGCTCATCTCTTCAGGCATATTAACTATGGCTTCTCTTACTCAAAACTACCCTTCCTACCTTCAGTTCTTCTCTGTCAACACCAATAAGGATTGCAGTCCCTGCTCATATGCAGGCAAGGAAGGTGGCGGCAGTCTACCTTTCTTCCATTTCAAGGCTAAGATATGCTCATTATATGACATTTGTTTGTTTTGACCATCTCCAAACTGAAAACAAAACCATAGGGGGTGTCTTCAAGGTAGAATTAATGCAATTTGTCATCACTTTAACTGGTATAGCTGAATGCTATGGAATCGTAGAAGCTGTAGTGTGGTGAGACATCAGCCAGTCTGTATCCTCCAGTGCCTTGATATTCTGGAATATAGGGCTGTGGGGCCCTTAGGGCCCGTTCACACAGCCATACAGCCCAGAATATCAGCAGAAAATCCCACAATATCTGCATTGAACTGGGTTATCTGAGTCCATGCTCAGATAATGTGGGATTTTCTGCCTTGATATTCTAGGATATAGGGCAGTGGAAGGGCCCTGAGTCTGCACTGCCAGATAATCTGGGATAAGCAGAAAACCTGGGATTGGATCCTGGAATATAGGGCCTGTCTGGAAGGGCCCTACATCTTTCTGATTGTATTACACTATGTAACAAACTTTGGGAAAAATGTTCTTGGTTTGAAAGTGTTATTTCCTGTTTAATTGTTCATTTGGTATTTTGAAATTAGTTGTTATGTTCCTGAAAGTTAATTTTTTGTGGCTGTCACAAATTGAATTGGTTGAGACTCAATGCGATATTTGTTGAAAAACTATAGCAAAATGTGCTGCAGGATGTCCCGCAAAAACAAAGTTTTCGTAGTTGAATACACTTTTTCCATTTTTTAATATAACCAACTAGGAAATGACATTTATAACTCAGTAACAAAAATCTTGTTACATAGTGTTAGCACAGCTTGGAAAATGGCCAGCAATTTTTTAAGAAGTACTTTGTAATCCAAAATAGGACTTTTCCCAAGCTTTAGTATCAGTTGGTCCCAAGCCAGTGGTTTTAGAAGATGATGCCATCTGCCGTGCTTTTGGAGCCCAGCGAGTTGGTGTTATTTTTCCCTCTCCCTGCCCCCTCCAGATCTACATCCAGACAACCACGCTGACCGTCTCTATGAGCCTGAGCGCCTCGGTTTCCCTCGGGATGCTCTACGTGCCCAAAGTCTACGTCATCATCTTCCACCCGGAGCAGAATGTCCAGAAGCGCAAGCGGAGCTTCAAAGCGGCTGCCACAGCCGTCAACGCCTCCACCAGACTCTCCCAGAAGGGTGCCCAGAATGGCGAGAGCAAAGATGATAAGCCGGATAGTAAGTAGCCAAAAAGTAGGTATCGCGGTCTTATTTTCTTTTTGATGACCCTACCCGATGTGCCTCCTGCTGACCTCCGCCTGCCCTGTAAGTACCTTTTAGTTCCTCCCATCCCTTCTCTTATACCCACAAAGTCCCCACAACTGGTCCCCACCATCACCACTGTGCCTTGGGGCTCTATAGATAGGAGTCAAGTCAAGTCAACTTTACTTATATCCCCTCCCATCTCCCCTTGGGCACTCGCAGCATCTTACAACATGAATGGCACCCATTTGATGTCATACAATACACAATGAAAATACAAATGCAGAATACAGTCATTTTGGTAAATGAACCATTTACCTTTCGCTAGAGTTGCGAGGTCCAACTACCCCAAATTTCATATCTGAGACTTAGTGATAGCCCGTGCAAAATCAAGGACGATGGATTACCAGCACAGTAAGCATCAAAACACAGTTGATCAGATTATACCATTCAAAATAAGGCCAAATTTAACAAATGAATTAAAATATACACAAAACATTTCAAGGCAATGGTGGCATCTTGAGATTTGTTCTGCTTACACCAAGGACTGGAGAAGAGGGATCAGGCCCTGAGATGTACTTCCAGCTTAATTTAACTAAAAGTGCACATCCCAAGATAGGGACATAAGATAATTTGTGGTTTAATAAATAAAACTGCTATCCGTGATGAGAAGAAAAGGTCATCTTTAATATGATAAAGCAAAATAGCTCCCAAATATTACCTAGAGTGTGCTTAACCTCAGCCCTATTGATCAAAAAGTTATCTGGGATTTTTTTATTACCCAGTTATCAGCTGGGTAATAATATATAAAGTATTTTGCAAAATGACAGGAATCCTCTTGGATCCCAGAAGACATGAAGAGGACTTCCCTTTGATTTTCCTCCTATAAAACCAGAATATGAAGGAGAAGGACAGTCAGGAAAGGAATAAACTACTTGAGAACATAGATTGGTGTAGAAATGGGGAGTAGAGAAGAAGTAAGGACCAACAAGATCATTTTTCTCAACTACTCAAGGGGATAATATAAGGAACATTTAACTTAGACTAACTGTTTTAGCCTATTATTATTATTATTATCCTGCCACCATCTCCCAAAAAGGACTTGGGGCAGCTTACAGTAGCACATACAAGTGCCATATACAGGTAAAATCATATCAACGTATTAGACAATGACAATATCAGTTCACATAAAAACAGCACAATACAAAAATAAAAAACCAATCCCAGTTAAAATCAATAAAAATATTACTAACTGGCATTAACATGAATAGTACAACATCCCAGACACAGTCCAGATTCGATCATTAAAGCACCAGTGTCAATATTATATAGTTTGGTCCTTAGATTAGCAGATATGTTAATCATTTCCAAAAGACTGCCCAAAGAACCATGTGTTCAGGTCCTTGCAAAAAACATTATAGTATGTGGGCAAGCCTCCTATCCCAGGGGAGGGTGTTCCAAAGCCGGGGGGCCACCACTGAAAAGGCCCTCTCTTTCGTTCCAACTTGCCGCACTTGGGACGAGTGGGATTGAGAGTAGGCCCTACCCAGCAGATCTTAGGGCCCACACCAGCTAAAAGGTGGATACGGAGCAGAGTGGAGGGTGAGTCCTGGTGCCACAGTGATGGTGAAGGTAGGCGGAAGTTAAGAAAATCTATAGACAACCTGGAGAGTCTTGGAAAGTTGCAGCAACCAATTAGTTAAGCCTTGAAAATTGTAGCAAGTTGATGATCTACAACTGAGCATGAATTTATCTCTTTTTGCCTGGATCAGCTCCCCAAGACTAGACAATTTGTATCCCTATGTCTTCTCCAGACATGACCCATAAAAATTGGAGACTCGGGGCCAAGACCTGAAATTTGGCAACCCTACCTGGAACATGGGCTGTAATTACACACACACAAATGTTGACTCACAGTCCCTATAGAGTGCCTTTCTGCCAAGCTTCCTGGCCTCCCGAGGAACAAAAAAAATCCCAAGACAGAAAGTATTACATTGTTATGTTTTAATTTGAAATGCTATTAATCTTGTTTATTTATTTGCCTTGGCCTCTTTTTTGTTGTTAAAAGGAGAGTATTTTGTTTTTTTAAAAAACATGTAAATAACAGGCAGACAGGGTTGAAAATCAGTGCAACTTGAAAAAAAGAAGTCTCTTCTTTGTTCTGGCATTTTAACAAAGAGGAGCCCATTTTGATCCCTGCAGTCGCAAACCGTGCAGGGGAGACCTCTCGCAGTGCAGTCTGGCTTTCAGTAGGAAAGGGCAGGGATCTGGGTGGGAAGCTCTGGAATATTAATAGCCGCTCTCTGTGGGCGACAATGTCCCAGAGCAGATGGCAAGGACTCCGGCGCCTTGTGCTGCATGACAGCCAGAAGCGTACGCCTGACCAAGCAGGGGCAGAAAATGAGGCAAGGTGCAGGCCTCTTCCTCCTCCTCCCCCCTCTCACTCTCTCCCACTAGACCCGACTCTGCTCTTCAGGCATCTGAACTGTGGCTTCTCTCACTCAAAGATGCCCTCCCTGTCCCCCCCCCCCCTCCCCCGTTCTCCGTCTAGCAAGGATTGCAGTTTCGGCTCATTTGTATGCAATGGAAGCGGCTACAATCCAGCTTCCTTCCATCCCAATTGATTTGAACATGTATACTGCCCAGCCTTAGTACACAAGTACACTACCTCACCCTATGTAATAATAGAGATTTTCATAGCAGATCTGATATGTTAGTAATATTGTGGCCATTAGATAAGTCCAGTTGTTATACATGTATGTGCCATCACCTTATGGGTCTTGGCAGCAGAGAAGAAAAAAATTGCAACCACTTCCAATACATTTTTGTAAGAATCTCCAAGCAATTTTTTTTCTGTGTCAGGAGCGACATGAGAAGCTGCAAGTCACTTCTGGTGTGAGAGAATTGGCCATCTGGGAATGTCCAGATGTTTTACTATCCCGTAAGAGTCTTCTCTCATGTCCCTGCATGAGAAGATGGAGCTGACAGACGGGAACTAACTCTGTTTCCTGATTCGAACTACTAATCTTTCAGTCAGCAGTCCTGCCGGCACAAGGGTTTAACCCATCACGCCACAGTGAGATGCCGGAAGAGTAATCAGGACTATCCCTGGCAAATTTGGACAACTAGAGGAAATGTCTAAACTGTAGAGTTAATGCAGATTGACATCACTTTAACTCAATGCTATGAAATCCTTGGATTTGTAGTTTCCCAAATTCTTTAGCTTTCTCTGCCAAATCATGCTGGTCCCTCACCAAACTACAAGATTCCATAAGACTGAGCCATGGCAGTAAAAGTAGGGTCAAACTGCATCAATTAAATAGTGTAGATACACCTTTGGTCCTCCAGCACATAAATGTTGATCATAGAATTACACCACAGAACCTACAAATGCTTAGAGAAGTTTTTCCTCTAATAATAATAATAATAATAATAATAATAATAATAATAATAATATATTTTTGTGTCAGGAGTGACTTGAGAAACTGCAAGTTGCTTCTGGTGTGAGAGAATTAGCCGTCTACTAGGACGTTGCCCAGGGGATGCCTAGATGTTTTGATGTTTTACTATCCTCCTTGTGGGAGGCTTCTCTCATATCCCTGCATGGGGAGCTGGAGCTGACAGAGGGAGCTCATCTGCGCTGTCCCCAGAATCGAATCTCCAACTTGTCAGTCTTCAGTCCTGCTGGCACAAGGGTTTAGCCCATGGCGCCACGGGGGGCTCCAAGCAAATATGTCAAGCATAAGTTTAGAAATCCCCATGGGGACTTCAGTAGAGAAGGGAAAATTCTTCTCAATCTTTCATCCTTATGAAAGATCCAGGAAAAAAGGGTGTGAGATGCTGCCCAGCCTTAGCACACAACAAAACCTTTCACACTAAAAAAAAAACCTTCTCCACAAACAGTTCTGTAGGGGATTCCCTGAAAATGAGCCTCTAGTAAAGCAGAGGGGATTACATTAAGTAAAAGGTGATACAAAGGGTAATCTGTATCCACTGGGGTTTGATTTCAGAACCCCTCATGGATGCCAAAATCCTTGAATGCTCAAATCCCATCATATACAATGGCATCGTAAAATGGGTGTTGCCAGAGACCTGCCTGAAAAGTCAAAGTCTCTGCCTAGAAGCAGAAGAACAAAGAAAGAAGACTGTTGTAGGTTTTTCAGGCTATATGGCCATGTTCTAGAAGCATTCTCTCCTGACATTTCACCTGCATCTATGGCAAGCATCCTCAGAACCTCTGAGGATGCTTGCCATAGATGCAGGTGAAACATCAGGAGAGAATGCTTCTAGAACATGGCCATACAGCCCAAAAAACTTACAACAACCCAGTGATTCCAGCCATGAGAGGTGTTAGCTGGCCACCTGTTATCATCAGGTGTCCATTTAGAAATAGTGCTTAGACATCCAAGGTAAAAGAAGCCCCGGTGACGCGATGTGTTAAACTTTTGTGCCAGCAGGACTGAAGACCGACAGGTTGGAGGTTCGAATCCGGGAAGAGTGTGAATGAGCTCCCTCTGTCAGCTCGAGCTCCCCATGCAGGGACATGAGAGAAGCCTCCCACAAGGATGGCAAAACATCAGAACATCCAGGTGTTCCCTGGGCAATGTCCTTGCAGATGGCCAATTCTCTCACACCAGAAGCAACTTACAGTTTCTCAAGTCACTCCTGACACAAAAACCCCCACAATTGTGCCACATATCAATGGTGGGGTGTGTATCCAGTACCTTCAATTGACCCGTCATCTCAGAGGAGTCACGTTGCTCTTGATGGCTCCAGATTATGTTAGAACAGTTGTTCTCTGCTTGGGGTCCTCCTAGTGTTTTGGGCTCCAACTCCAGGAGACCCAACATAGTCAAGCATAAAGCATTCAGGGAGCAGAAGTCCCAAACTTTTGGCGGACCAAAGGTTGCGAACCACTAGAGCTTCCCACCCTCATCCTTCCAGTTCTACAGCTCAGCCCATGTTTCCACTATGGGTCCCAGCGTGACCCTCCATTCTTTCACCTATCTACTTCTCTCTAACACTTTTCCATTTTGTATCCTTTGCAGGCGTCCCTAAGGTGATGTACATCAGCTACACAGAACTGACCATGGTGCCCACATAACTGAAGGAAGAGGAAACGAGCACTGAGGGGGTGGGTGGGCAGGGTGTGACACGGTTTTTGTGGGGATGAGAGAGTGAAGCCCCTGGGAAGGAGCTGGGGTGGACATATGGTGGGGAATAAACCTGTATTTTTACAAAATTGGTCTGTAATTTTCTTTTCAGTCTAGCATGCACTTGGAGAAGACATGGAGAAGTTGTAGCCGTCTCAGTAAAGTGTGAGAGGGTATGAAACAAAAATGGAAGATTGGTGCTTCAACATTTTAGTGAACTATTTAGTGTGAGGGAATATGTTACTTAGATCAGGGCTTCTTAAACATTTTCCACCTGTAACTCCTTTCCACCTGAGAAATTTTTGTGGGACCCCAGGTATATAGGTATTTAAAATAGGTTTACAAATTTCCTTGGCCCCATAATATTCCTTAGAAGAAATCACCTTTGTCATGACCCTAGAGTTTGATTGTTTCCCAGTCTTGGATTGTCTTTGATTCCTCCTTTTTACCTTTGATTCCTCCACTAGTGACATGTAGCCCCCAAAAGGACTTATTTGAGACAAAATGTGACCCTCCCATTAAAAAAGGATTTCCACCTAGTAGGAATTCACCATCTTTGTGCTTGTGCTTCCATCAGTCAGGAGATAAAAAGTCATTTTCTAAGGATGATGTTCAGCTAGCAGTTGCACAACAACTATACACAAATGTAGCTTCAGGGTTGATTTGACAGGAGATGTATGCACCATGGTGTTTGAGATTTACAGTATACTCCTACACAGTCATAGGAAGGAGGGAGCTGGCTTGTTTTCTGCTGCCCTGGAGACGAGGACACTGAGCAATGGCTTCAAACTACAAGAAAGGAGATTCCACCTGAACATGAGGAAGAACTTCCTGACTGCTCTGGAGTGTGGTGGAGGCTCCTTCATTGGAGGCTTTTAAGCAGAAGCTGGATGGCCATCTATCAGGGGTGCTTTGAATGAGATTTTCCTGCTTCTTGGCAGGGGGTTGGACTGGATGGCCCCCAAGGTCTCTTCCAACTCTAGGATTGTATGATTCTATGATTTCTAGCCTTTTTAAAGTTGTGGATGAACAAAGATTGTCCTTCATTCTGGTCGTCCTCCTTTTACACATGGAAAACATGTAACTGTGCAGATATGGGAGTACAACTCCCACCAGCCTAATCCTTGGCAGTGGCAGGGATGGAGGTGATGAGAGATCCAGTCTAACAGCACTGGAGCTTCCCATTCATGTGAAGGAAGCAGTCTCCCATTAACTCCCTTTGTAACACCTTAGTAATAATCTCCAAGATTTATCAGAACATTACCAGAGAAAGAAACTCTGACAAAAGCTGCACCTCGGTGCCAAACCTGCATCGACTATGTTGTGTGCCAATGCAGGCATGGCAGAAGTCACTTCCTGCTTTCGATAACCCTAAGGTGAACTATCATAGCATTTTTTTATTGGAAAGAATTATGCAGAATGGATTTGAGAGTGTCACCCCGTGAAGCTAAGAATGTGATTTGCCCAAGTTTGTTTGTTTGTTTGTTTATTTATTTACGACATTTATATGCCGCCTTTCTCACCCCGAAGGGCAGCTTATATGTCATGTGTACATACAATTGAGTTCCCATGAGGGAACAGGGATTTGAACCCTGGTCTCCAGACTTGTGCTTTGAAGATGAAGTACTTTGGCCACATAATGAGAAGACAGGAAAGCTTGGAGAAGACAATGATGCTGGGGAAAATTGAAGTAAAAAGGAAGAGGGGCCAACCAAGGGCAAGATGGATGGATGGTATCCTTGAAGTGACTGGCTTGACCTTGAAGGAGCTGGGGGTGGTGACGGCCAACAGGGAGCTCTGGCGTGGGATGGTCCATGAGGTCATGAAGAGTTGGAAGCGACTGAATGAATAAACAACTACTCCAGATTTGTAGCCCAGTACTTAAACCACTACACTGCACAGCCATACTATCTTAACGCTCTGCCTCCAGCTCTCTCAACCCATAAACATAAGCAAGCATGGTTCTTCTGAAAGGCCACTCTAATTAATTTGACAAAAAAGGTGGTAACCAATTCAAGGATTTTCTTTTCTTTTTAGCATCCCTTTTTATCTGCTTATTCAATTATGTCTTTAAAAGGTTGCCTGTGATCAAAAAAACTCATCAGGGCTGACTTTTTTGAGATGCTGAATGGTGTGAGGTTATTTATAATTTAACAAATGATAGCCTTTTAATTAGATGGAAAGGCTGGTTTTTTTCTTCACTTCCAATGGCAATCAACATGCAGATTACCTCCAAAAAACCTTAGACCAAACAGAACTTTCATTAGTCCATATTTGCAACCCTAGGAAAAAGGGCCAAGACTAAATACCCTAAAGCAGTGGTTCCCAACCTGTGGTCTGTGGTCCACAAGAACTAAAATATGGTCCGCAGCCTCACACCGTTGTAGCAGGAGTGACTGGTCTCACAAAACCCTCTTATAGTGCCGAGGCATATTAAATATGGCGACTAATGGATGGCATATGTTCTATATCAGAAAATAGAGGTGATGTAGTCTATCCAATGCAATTTTCTGAATCAGCACCCCAAATAACCAAACCAAATCTAAAGTTGACCAAAATCTGATTCTGAACCCTTTTGATACTAATGTTGGAGAGTGGTCCCTGGTCAGAGTGGTCTCTGGTCAAAAAAATATGTTTGGGAACCACTGCCCTAAAGGCACCACATCCCAAATGATTTCAGGAAGATCTGGGTTGGTAGTACTTGGATACGAGACCATCAAAGGATACCAGGCTACACTCAGAGGAAAGCAAAAAATCTCTTGTCTGTCTGTGAATATTGCATTTGACCAGCTTGACCAGCATTGAACAGCCTTGCAGTTGCACGTGCCCATGGACCCCAATGGCCTCTCCATGCTGTCTGACATGATGGCCGCCAGAGTGGTCCAGCACTTCTGTGTTCTCAAATAATACGCTGTGTCCAGGTTGGTTCATCAAGTGCTCTGCTTCGGCTGACCTCCCTGGCCAAATAAGTCCACAATGCCCTTCATGTTCCTTGATTTGTGTTTGGGCACTGTTTGGTGGTCCCTATGTAGACTAGTGCACAGCTGCATGGTATACAGTAGACTCCTACAGAGGTGAGAGGATCCCTCTCAAACAGACAAGCGTTCTTTTTCCCACTCTGGGCCTTCCACAGATATATCAACCTCAATTGCCTAGTTCCCAACATATTATTATTATTATTATTATTATTATTATTATTATTATTAAACTTTATTTGTACCCCGCTAGCATCTCCCGAAGGACTCGATGCGGCTTACAAAGGCCAAGGCCTCAATACACAAATAACAATACACCTAAAGCCAATTAAAACAGTTAAAGCAATATTAAAACAACAAAACAACAAGCAATACACAACACACCAAAACGCAGTAAAACTGGGCCGGGCCAGAGTAAAGGGTACAGGATTAAAAGTGCTGATGTGACAGGTAATATGTAAGGCTTATAGGGCAAGTGCAGTGTGCGGCAATTATAATTCTAATAAAGTGCTTCTGGGACTTGGTATTGGAGATTTCCTATTCAGGGAAGGCACATCGGAACAGCCAGGTCTTCAAGTTCTTTCTGAAGAGTGCCAATGTAGGGGCCTGTCTAAGATCTTTGGGGAGGGTGTTCCAGAGTCAGGGGGCCACCACGGAAAAGGCCCTATCCCGTGTCCCCACCAAACGCGCTTGCAACGCAGGTGGGACCACGAGCAGGGCCTCTCCAGATGAATGAAGTGAGCGCGTGGATTCGTAGACGGAGATGCGGTCACGCAGGTAGGCTGGTCCCAAACCGTTCAGGGCTTTGTAGGTAAGCACCTGCACCTTAAATTGGGCTCGGAAGATAAACGGCAGCCAGTGGAGCTCCTTGAACGGAAGGGTTGACCTCTCTCTGTAAGGAGCGCCGGTTAACATCCTGGCCACTGCTCGTTGGACCAGTTGGAATTTCCGAGCCGTTTTCAAGGGCAGCCCCACGTAGAGCACATTACAGTAATCCAACCTAGAGGTGACCAAGGCATGGACCACCCCGGCCAGATCAGCCACCCAACCTCTGAGGATGCCTGCCATAAATGTGGGCGGAACGTCAGGAGAGAATGCTTCTGGAACAAGGCCGTACAGCCCAGAAAACTCACAGCAAACTAGTAATTCCAGCCATAAAAGCCTTCGACAACACAATTCAACATAGTTTGTGACAATCTCAAAAAAACAGTATAACAACTACTTTCAAAGTAAGTACCACATAACTAAGCAAAAAATAACTTTCATAACAGGATCAGAAAAATATCAAATGTTTGTTATTTTGGATTTTGGAAAACCTGTATTTGATTATATGTACATAATGTCGAACCCAAGTCTGAAAACAAAATTCATTTATTTTCATATAAACCGTATACACAGAGCCAAAAAGTGATTGTATACTATATTTTGGATCCCCCGGTGGCACAGTGGGTTAAACCGCTGAACTACTGAACTTGCTGATCGAAAGGTCGCAGAGTCTAATCTGGGGAGCGGTATGAGCTCCCACTGTTAGCCCCAGCTTCTGCCAACCTAGCAGTTCGAAAACATGCAAATGTGAGTAGATCAAATGGTACTGCTCTGGCGGGCAGGTAACGGCGTGCCATACAGTCATGCCGGCCACATGACCTTGAAGGTGTCTTTGGATAACGCTGGCTCTTTAGCTTAGAAATGGAAATGAGCACACACTAGAGCTCAGCAAAAGTGTGTGAGCGATGGAGTCGATCGGGTAGAGCCTGTGCTCCCTTCCCAACTGCGGATTGAAGCAGAGGGAACAGCGAAATCGGGAGGGCCAGCTGACGGTCCAAAAGGGGGTCTCCTCCTCAAGAGGAGACCACCAAAAGGACCCGGTATTGGTTCCAAGGTACAGCGGATCGCTCCAAAACGCAGCGGACTGAAAAGCCTGCACATCTCCTGCCACATGCGCTTTTAAATTAAGAAAGAAAGAAGAGGAGAAGGAGGTAAGAAATATTAAGAAAGGAAGGAAGGGGTATTGGAAGGAATCTTCAAAAGCTCTTCCCAAATAAGAAAGAACTTATGAAATTGGACTTTATTGGACACTATTAGACGCGGACGAAGAAAGAAAGGGGAGGCGGAGG